TTTGTCTTCCCTAAGCTACCCAGTTCACCTCCCTGATGGCCAAATCCAAATGCTGTGCATGGTGAAGCACAATTAATAAAAACTCAAACACAGAAACTGGGGCTCAACCTGAAGGTCAGAAAGCAAAACAGTCAGCCACCGGCTCTTACCTCACTCTCAGTCCAAAATGGCAATCCTGCCTGCAGGAATCCCAGAATAAGACCAAGACAAAGCTGTCTCCTCCTGTCTTATAATCCTCTCTAGTTCTGGAATTAAGGGCATACACCACTAACACTGGTTTCTAGGATGAGCTGGTGTGGCTATTGGAATTAAAGGTGTGTGTCATTGTAGCTACTGGGATTAAAGGTGTGTGTCATTGTTGCTTGGTCTGAGGCTGGCCAGTGTGGCTGTTTTACTTTTCTGATCATCAGACAAACATTATTTATTAAAATACAGATGAAATTCCACTACAGTAGGACCTTCTCTCCTCCCATAGGCTGCCCAATGACAAGCCTGCCTTTCCTCAGGACTCCACTGCCACTCTTGCCTCCAGGTAAAACTCCTCACCTTCTTACCCTTAAACCACCCAGTTCCCATTGGCCCATTCTCAGAACCCCCTGCCACTAGGCAGTCCCTTCTTATTCCTTTTCTCTTGACCACCAAACTCACTGCTGGTCTTTTCTAGGACCCTGAGCAGACCTAGCCTCTAAGTAGATTCTCCTTCTTCTTCTTCTTCTTCTTCCCTAGAGTTCCCAACTCCTCACCTGCCCTCCCCCGAGTCCTCACATTGACTGTACCCTTTCTTTCTTTGAACTTACAAAACAAAACTCATATAGTCATCAGTAGATTCAGAAAGTACTTTGACTAAATTCAGCTTTCTTTCATGAGAGAAGTTTCGTAGAAAATAAGGTTGGCATGAATGTGCATTCATGTGTAAGAACTACATGTGACAGATCCAAAGTTAGTGTCATCTTAATGGAGAAAACCTCAATGTAATATCATTAAAATCAGGAAGACTAAGCTGTCCACCGTCTCAACTACTGTTCAATAAAATACATAATGTCTTGCTAGACTATTATGATGAGAAGAAGTTCAAATAGGAAAATAACTCAAAGCAAACTTGGTTTTGGATAATATGATGCTACATATAAGAAACACTAAGAGTCAATCAGAAAACTCCTAGAACTAAAATTTATACTTCCTACAAAGTGTCAGGATTAAAAATAAACATCAAAAGTTTATCTATATACCAAAATGAAACACACTGAGGGAGAAATCACAGAATTAATTCTATTTGTAATAGTCTTTAAAAAAAAAAACCCTCAGAATAAACCTAATCAAGGAGGTAAAGAACTTCTACAGTGGAAACTTTAAAACTTGCCAGGTGGTGGCGGCACATGCCTTTAATCCCAGCACTCGGGAGGCAGAGGCAGGCAGATCTCTGTGAGTTTGAGGCCAGCCTGGTCTACAAGACCTGGTTCCAGGACAGGCTCCAAAGCTACAGAGAAACTGTGTCTTGAAAAACCAAAATAAATAAATAACCCTTATGAATACATTAGAAGATGGAAAGTTTTCTTATGCTTGTGGACTGTTATAATGTTAAAATGATAATCCTACCAAAAAAATTTACAGATTCATTCAATCCTAATCAAAATCCCCATGCTATTATTCACGGAAATTTAAAAAAAAATCTTAAAATTAATATAGAGACATAAAAGACACTGGAGGGCCAAGGAAATCCTGAGCAAAAAGAATAGAGACATTATTATACCAGATAGCAAGTTATTTAACAGAATTATAGTACTAAGGAGTATTGTAGTAACATGCACCCATGCATGCATATGTGCACACAGGCACACACACAAGCACACACACATACACACCCAGAGGGAGAAAAGGAGAGAGATATCAATGAAACAACCTAAGAGTCCCAACTAGAAGTCCATTCAACTACCAACATCTGATTTTTGACAAGCATGCACGCTGGAAGAAAGACAACATTGTCAACAAATAGTTTTGGGAAAACTAAATGTCTACATGCATAATAATGAAAGTAGACCTTCCCTGTTAAAAACAACCACTATATGGAATTCTGTAACTGCTAGGAGAGATGGAAGGGAGTAGACTACAACAAACAGGAATAGATAAGAATGTTGTAATTAGACCTACAATCACTCAGAAATAAGGCCAAAGATTGACAAATGGATGCTCATGAAACTAAAAATCTTCTGTACCACAGTCAATATGATGAAGAGGCAACCTACAGAATGGAAACAATTCTTTTGTCAGCTATATATCTTCAAAAGGATTAATGTCTAGCATACATGAAAAACTAAATAAACAAGGAAATAAAAAACCAATTAAAATGAGCTATAGGTCTGAACAGAGAATTCTCAAAATAATATCAATGCTTAATAAACGCTTTTGAAGAGTATTTATCACTAGTCATCAGAGAAATGCAAAATGTAAAACTGCTCTGAGATTCTGTTCACCCCTAGTCAGAATGGCCATCATCAAGAAACCAAATGCTGGCAACGATTTGCGGAAATAGGATTTGCTGTTGGTAGAAATGTGAACTTTTGTAGTCATTAAGAAAATTGGTGTGGAGATTCTTCTAGAAGAGTGTTTCTCAACTTTTCTAATGCTGTGACCCTTTAATGCAGTTTCTCATGTTGTGATGACCCCAACTATATAATTGGTTTTGGTGCTACTTCATAATTATATTTTGCTACTTTTATAAATCATAATGTAAATATCCAATATGCAGGATATTTGGCTCTTGTAAAAGGGTCATTTGATCCCCAAAAGGTTACAACCTACAGGCTGAGAACCACTGCTTTAAAAGTCAAAGACAGAACTACCACACGCTCCAGCTGTTCTACTCTTAGACAAGAACACAAATGATACCGTATCCCCTACTATAGAAATACTTGCTTGTCCACGTTTCTACTTGCTCTTTTCAAAATAGCCAAGGAATTGAAACAGTCTAGATGTCCCCCAACTAATGACTAGATAACAGAAATGTGCTACAGTGGGATTTTACTCAGCTGCAAAGAAAACGAGGCTTTGAAATTTGCAGGTAAATGGGTGTCTCTAAAAAATTAGAGCCCGACTTAAGGCTAGCCAGGCACAGGAAAACCAACACCACACTACCCATCATGTACATCTCATATTCTCTTTCATATGAAGATCCCAGCTCCAAATCTCTAATTTTGTGTGTTCAAATTTAGAATACTAGGATAAGACCAGAACCTAGAAAGGGGCCATGGTGGAAATGGTCACAGGGGCTGGAAATAGTCAAACTGGAAGTGATCTGAATCCTTTACCTGACAGGTAGTTTTTGTAGTTCTAGAAGCTCCTATATAGACTACTGGTGTACAAATAGTATCAATCGTCTTACACAGCTGTGAATTCTATGACCTAAAACACCAACCTGGAGAGCTAGAGGATCCCATTTGTGCAATAGAGGGCCCTTCCATTACATGGATAAATAGCTTCTGATTGAATTTGAGACCCATTCAACTGGAGAGAATCCATGTCTATTTCTATAAATCTAATCTGTACCCTTAACTGTAGAAATCATCGTCTCTATAGGTAACAGAGTACTGACATACATCAAGCTACTTTCTAAATATTTGTTTATACCCACAGAGATAACTACTCTCAGTCTTACTCTAGAAGCTTATCTTTCCAGTGGCATGTGGTTAAAACAGACTTATAGCTGCAGGGTGCTGAGAACATGTGTGGATGAGTGTTCAGCCCTAAATAAGACATTTATACCATCATGTCCATAGTTCATGGGATACTGAAAATAGAAGCAGAGTGGAAAAGAATGTAAGAGCTGATACAGGGAAAGGCTATAAAATGTCAGCCAGAAAGATATAGCTATGCAACCGCAAACTTATAGCAAGCAAGGATACCTTCCCTAAGTATGTGCAAGAATGGAACTTTTAACAATCCAGTATAGCTAGAGGAGGGTCTCAGTAGGGTCTGTTCTTCACAGTTGGACTATTTGCTACTGATAGATTTTGGCATAAAGAGAGCTATTGTCTTTAAGTCTGTGTTCATTGATGATTCCACCAGGTTCCAATGGATAGTTCTAACACACACAATAAAGTATACACAAATAAAGTATAGTACCTATACAAATTAGACTTTTATTATCTTAAACAAAAACTAAATCCTAACATTTGTAGGAAAATGAGTGCATGTGGAAATCATCATGCAAAGCTAAGTAAGCTAGACTAAAAAAGACAAAGACTGCCTACTTTCTCTTATATTCAGAATCGAGCGCTGAATGGGTGTGGTTTTATGCGATGAAGCTAGAAAGAGTTCACAAGAGTGGAAGAATTATCATAAGGAGAGACGAGCAAGGGACACAGGAAGGAAGAGAATACATGCAACATGAAACAAAAAGGCGCTGCTCTTACAATGGTGTATGTTAGTCCTTTATATTGATTGTAAAAGTAGACTTAAAAGTGATGAACATTGTCTTCCAGCTACGCATGTTTATGTCTCAGGGGTGAAAATATTTCCTCATTTTAAAAATAGAAATAAAAGGTAGACTACATTTTCTGTCCCTAAAATTCCCAGGCTTCAACAGTCTGCTGTGGTAGTCTCAAAATAGTTTCACCACATGTAATTTTCTTTTATCAGTTTTCCTTCAGTCAATAGAGTAACAGACAGACAGCGGTTACATTGTACATGTTTTATAACAATTTCTTTTGCTTAAAACAATGGCAAAAATGTTATTCCTTTTGTTCTGGATGTCTATAAATGCTGTGTCCAAACATCTGTTCTGCTTTTAAGATAAATAGAAATTTTCTTGTTACACAAATTTTCCTACTTCACTTTTCATCATTTAACCAAATCACATTCTGTAACTTTAGCAAGACAAATTTCACATAAGAAAAAACTTAATATCTAGAGAATTCCAATGCCAGTTCTCTAAAATGTGCTCCTGCATTTTTATTGTACTGAATAGAATTTGAAAGTAATTGGTGTTATTATGACCAACTTACTTGGTTTGTGTCAGATCGACTACAATGAGATCTTTCTCTAGAAGTACAGCAACAGCATAGGGTTCTTGAAATTCTACAACAGAAAGAAAAACATTGAAAAGTTTCCATACTGCATATTTTATTTAAACCACCAACAATGCATTTCCTTTATCATATATACATTTTATTTAAATGATGAGAAAACCAAAATATGAGCTAAGGTGACAAAGAATACTTTAATAAAATATGTTTATTTTACAAATATAATGTTAAGATCTCTAATAGAACTAGGAAAAATGAACATGTGTATAGTACATAGTCAAGTACATTCCAAAAATCACGAAGTGATGGCAATCCTGCCTAACAAAGAATGAGAGTGTCACTTCAAGTTTATGGTCACTATCAGACTCATCCATAACCTTAGTGGTTTAGATTTGAACCATGCCCACTAGGAGTCACACTGAGACTGCACTAACTCTGCTTCTCTGGGATATGATACACAATCACCTCACTATGATAGGAAAACACATGTAGTTGGGTGTGTACTTTGAGTCAATATGGTTTAATGTACTCCTATAGACTATTCCTGTGTGCATGAGTACAAACCTACGAAAATCAAACAGCATCATGGGTAAATTTCACATTTCTAAATCCAACCCTCTTCCAACTGTTCCTTTCCCCCATATTCTTGATCCATTTATATCCCACTGTTCCTTTCCCACCTAGTTTTGCTCCATTATATCCTAGGAGCTATCTCAAAACCCAAAGGCTGGGTGGGGAATAAGACTGACTATAAATCTTTCTCATGGAGTTTTTGTTCCAGGGATGTTTGCAAGCTGTGGACAGTGAAGAAGTAAGAATTCAGGAGCTACTGTGAGCTATGAGTAAATAAGGGTAATGGTATAAAATGTAACTTGTGTTAAGATAGGGAGCAGGGATTTAGTTAAGAGGCAAAGAGAGCATTGGATTCTATTTACAATAAAGGGCAAACGGGGAAAACGGGGAAAGTGAAGTTCTCAGGTTTAGATAACTGCATAAGAAAACATTTTAATGCATGATCTTTGATTCTCAGTAGCTATAAGAGTGTTATTTTTCAATAGTGTTGAGAAAACATGGCCAAAGAGGCATAGGTTTATCGACCAGTGGTTAAACTGAAATTTAAACTTAGGACTTTAAACTCTAACTTCCATCTGGTTTTCATTATACCAGAAGTTTCTAATGGCTAGTTTGGAAAGCTTTTATCCTAAACTCAATAATCACTCAACAGATGTCTTCTACAGAGGGAGGACTGAAGTCTTGGGTGGGAAATTTAAATACTGAAGTAGGCAGCCTTCAGAGTAACTTCCAGGCCTGAGAAGTTACAGTACCTACACAAGTTCATATTTACAACCAACGTGTACACGAGAGGAAAACACAAGAGGAAACACGTAAATGACAACAAGAGTTAGGACTTGCTGGTGCTTAGATAGTTATTTCTATGACAATAGTTAGTCTGCTGCAGTCCAAGGTTCAAACCGTTCTCATGGTTCCTACTATTTATCTCTAGCATTGATTTAAGTTTCTCAGTGTTGTTTTTATACAATTTAGCTCTCAATTTGAAGAGCAGCAGGGTTCCATATGACTAGTCATTTTCTCCTTGTCAGCTCCTCTTAGGAACATCATTGGCTAGGTTTATAGCAAGTGTTAAAAGATAAAATAACCAAAGCATTACCACGTGTGAATTAAAGTCACAGATAAATTAAAATTTTAGATTGTTACATCTGTCAAAAGTTATTGTTGTTCCTACACAAATAAGAAACTGGCAGCAGAAGTTTCACCTCTGTAGAAGCCCTCTGTATACTGTCATGGCTACTAAAAAAATTGTTTGGGAATCAATGCTGAGTTCAATTCTTTGCCTATTAACTAAAAAATTTTGTCTTGGGCAGATTAACTACATTCCTTGACATGAAGCTCCTCTTTCACTGAAATGGCACAATTACAAGTACCTTAAGCTGCTATAAAGTTATATAAAAAACACATACGGTGATATTTATAGCTAATAGATAACAATAGAAGTACCTATTTAGGTTGGTGTGTCTCAGCATTTAACCCTTGTTCCTACCAGGTAGGGTGAGAGAAGTTCTATCTCTATTATTCTGAAGAGAATGCATCATTTGAAAGGCTTAGAGATGACTGGCCAACTAAATATAGATGGGAACTGACAAGCTCTGATTACAGTTATTACTCTAGGTGATGATCCCATTAACAATGTTAAAACATTTGAGCTGTGAGAATGAGTCATGGCATCAGATGTCATAAAAGTATCAGCAGTATTAAAATTATTCATAACTTGGTTTAGCCTGGGAATGACATTTATCACTATGTAGCTATAAAGACTGGAATTCCCTATCAACTACTATGAAATAATTAAAATATATTAACACAAGGATATAAACAGTACATAGAATATTAGGTCATTTGTAGAAAGAAGAAGTATATGCATATTTGAAGAGAAGAATTAAAAAGGTGAGTAGCACCGGGCGACTTGGGAAAGGTCGTGAGAAACTTCATTATGTACAATATAGGCTTTCTTTTCTGGTGCTTTGATATATTCAATGTTTGAACAATTAACACATATTTGAGCAGTTACTATATTTATATTCCCATAAGTATAGTTAACAACATTTCTCCTCAAATCTGACAAATGAAAAGTTCAATTATCCTTATCAGTTTTCTGAAAAACAATTTATTAATCCACTTGTAGAGGAGAAAAGGTAGGGTTTAGCAGATTTATACTTTATTAAGAATCATTATAAATTATCCTTATATTGCTACTGATGTTCAGGAGACTACATATGAGACATATGTCTCATCTTTGCAACCATGAATTCTCAACTTCTATTTCAGATACATTTCAATACTCTTTATAGGAGCATTTTAGTCCAGTGGCCTTACTTTTCTTTTTGTTTCCTCCACATTTCCTTCCTAGGTGACTCTAACCTTTGTTCCTTTGTCAACTATATTCATAACTCCAAAGAACATTTATAGTGTGATAAATCATGAACAAATATTGTAAGATTTTTTTCCTTCTTTGTTCTCTAATAACTACTCATTCTTACTATTCTTTCTTTTAAACGCTGTGACTGTATGAAACATGTTGTGGTTTGGGTTTGTTTTAATGTTTTGTTCACTTTGAAGAAAATGAACAGTTTACACTACTATGGAGACTGTACTAAAACATACTGTGTAGCCTAGGCTGGTTTTGAACTCATGGCCGTCCTCTTGCTTCAGTCTCCCCAGATCTGAGATTATATAAATAAAACAACATGCCCAGATACAATAAATATATATATATTACCTACAAATGCCTTTGCTACAGTTTAGATTTTAAGAATCTCTCTTGAAACCTATATATTCCTTTAAAAAAACTATTAAAACTAGTACTTTCTTTCATCTTAGTATTTCTTCAAAGTTCTGTTTCTTCACAAATTTCTCCAAAAACCTTAGATGTTTTCCCATAAATTGGTCTTACCAAACCGCACAATTTACAAAACCTTTACTCAATATTCTCAATAAAGTCTGCCTAAATCCTATTTTTCTATTGAGGCTTTACATTAATATTTTAGTCATTTAACCAGCTATAAAGAGATGGATTATTTATACTATGAACCATGTAATTCAGCATTATAATCATGCATTACTTTAATAAATTATGGTTATTTCATAGACCCCATCAGACTTTATGCAATTTATGTAAAGATTACATTCATATTTCTATAAGCTTAACAAGTACTTATAGTATTGAGGCCACAGTAATGTTCAATAAATATATGTTGATAAAAAATGCAGGCCATTTATCTCTAGTAACTCTTGAAATAAAGTGCTACATAATTGCTATCTACTACATATTTTAAATATAAAGCAAAATAATTTAAAGAAAATCAACATGTTTAGTAATGAAACATGAAGTACATATTTTCATAGTTAACAAAATATTTTCATTTGCCTTTCCACTAATCATATTTGGGTAAAATTATTCCCTTCCTACACAAAATAAGTAAAACATGTAAGTATCTTACTTAGCAGCTAATAAGTTTCAGAGGTGAATCATAAATCCAGAGGTGAATCATAAATCCAAATATTCCGTCCCAAGTTTTTGTCCCTTTTGGAAATGTAGTACTATTTATTATATTGTTTTTATCATAAACTCATTTCTGGTTTATGTTTTAACCATTTTCATTTTTATATTTATTTTCTCATCATTAGAATCTCATCATTTGTATGAGTTTAGAACTAGTTTCATGCTTACAAAGGTTTTGCATCTTTACTCAAGATGATAAATATATACATGCATCTCTCCTCCCAGAGGTCTTATGACTCTTCTCCATATTAAAATAAATCACTAACCACACATCAGCAATCCTAGAGTAATCAGATGTGCTGCAGTTGCATCTGAAGCAAAGCCAGATGGGAAAGAGATGCAGCACCACCAGAGTTACAGATCACTGATATCAGGTAAGTGCTTTAACTTTGATTGGTATTGGGATGGGATGGGTGGAGCTGGTCTAGGAGAGACTATTAGGAGACCTCAGTTTCCCCAAGTGATTTCACCCTGGACCCCTATCGGACCCTCCCAGCTCAGCTTCCACCATCCTTATCAAAGTTTAAAGCACTTACCTGATATTAGAACCTGCAACGCCAGCACTGCTGCACTACATCTGTCTTACTTCCAGTTTGCCAAGTAGGTACAATGCAGAACCTGCGCCAGCAACTGTAGCTCACAGTGTTGTACCACAGTGGATACCTGCTGCCAAAACTGAAAATATTTAACCTTAATTTCATTAGGAACTTGTCATTTAAAAATGATATCTTTTTTTCTAAAATTAAATGTTTCATTTTATCTACTTACCATTTGGATAAGGTGTTTCACATAAAGTTAGAAATTCAACAATAGGATGGTCCATTTCAAGTACTGTAATTGCTTTTCCATGCATGATGGTTAAACTTGGTCTTCTGCAAGCTTTGTCATATGACAGCCCACCAGAGAATATTATAAATGGTTCACTACATAGGGGGAAAAAGGGTAATGAGACTATATTCTTTAAGATAACATGAAGTCAAAACATAAGCCTTGAAATAATAAGTTCAGAGGAGATTATCTACAATGCAAATGGCCTTCCTGATTCTAGTTTCTCAACTAACAATGACCATTTTATCATCCCCCTTTTCCGGATCTACACACTAGCTACTAGAATAACTATGGGTGAGTGCAAAGATATTTGAGTGGCACTGGGGAAAGACAAGCTGGAGGAGAGTGGAGTCACTGGCTCTCAAAGGGACTTTTTAATATTTTATTTGGCTACCAAATCTTATATCACTATCATTAGAACATTAGTTATGTTATAATATTAAACTAATAAGTGGAAATGTGGGACCCAAGTCCCTAAAATGAAAGAGAGAGGCAAATTTTAATACAAAGAGAAATATCACAGTGGGAAGCTCAGAATGGTAAACGAGAACATGAAAATTGTAGGTAATAAAGTTTCTGTAGTAAAAGGTTTTTGAGATAGAAAAATATGTAAATGAATTATAATTTATTATAGAATATCTTCTCAATTTTATGCATATCTAGCAAGCTCTAGCTGACTCAAGTAATTTCATATAAAATTTTAGTGTGTCACTTTAGTACTTTTATTTTTGAAATTAAAATACATTACATTCCTTTTCTTCCCTCCTGTCCTCCCATATATGCCCTCCTTTGTTCTCTCTCAAATTATGGCCTTTTTCTTTAATTGTTTACATGCACGCACATGCACGCGCACGCACACACACACACTACTCAGTCTATATATTACTTTTCAAAGTACGAATAAGTAATAAAATGAGTGTCATTCATTTCTCAACTTGTTTGGATTGAGGAATGAGACTTTGGACCTGGGAGAGAGGAGAGGTTGGGGGAGGCTGGGAAGACTGGAGGGAGGGGAAATGGAGTGGTCAGAATGTAATGTATGAGAGAAGAATACATTTTCAAAACAGAGATGAATGGAAGGAAGGAAGGAAGGAAGGGAGGGAGGAAGGGAGGGAGGGAGGGAGGGAGGGAGGGAGGGAGGGAGGGAGGGAGGGAGGGAGGGAGGGAGGGAGGGAGGGAGGGAGGGAGGGAGGGAGGGAGGGAGGGAGGGAGGGAGGGAGGGAGGGAGGGAGGGAGGGAGGGAGGGAGGGAGGGAGGGAGGGAGGGAGGGAGGGAGGGAGGGAGGGAGGGAGGGAGGGAGGGAGGGAGGGAGGGAGGGAGGGAGGGAGGGAGGGAGGGAGGGAGGGAGGGAGGGAGGGAGGGAGGGAGGGAGGGAGGGAGGGAGGGAGGGAGGGAGGGAGGGAGGGAGGGAGGGAGGGAGGGAGGGAGGGAGGGAGGGAGGGAGGGAGGGAGGGAGGGAGGGAGGGAGGGAGGGAGGGAGGGAGGGAGGGAGGGAGGGAGGGAGGGAGGGAGGGAGGGAGGAAAAGGGAAGGGAAGGGAAGGGAAAAGGAAGAAACTCCTGTATGTGTCTGTTAGTGCATGTACAGAGACAACTGCCGTGTGGAATAGCAAGTACAGGCAGTGAGGGAAGACCTATGCTGAATATTGGTAGTGCTGTCCAATAGTGTGGGGTCCATGGAGGAATAAAAGAATGAGAAAGTGTACCAGCATAGGTTTCCTCTTTTCTCTCTCTGCTTCTTGGCTAACATAATGTAAGCTACTTTCCTGCTGCTGTGAAGGTTTTAATTCGCCTTGACATAAAACTAAAATTAATGGAGTCACCCAGTGACAGTCTAAAGCAACCTAAAGCCAAAGGGGTCTTCTTACTTTAAGATATTTATTCTCGTAATTTCTTATAATGACACAAAGTGATGAACTCAATGAGGTTTCTTTTGATGAATATAAATATTGTAGCTCTCTATAAATAGCTTAATAACTTTTCATTTTCTATTCTAAACTCAATACACATATTTATGTTAAAAAAGAAGTATTTTCAACAAGTAAATACCAGATTGAGAATATTTCCCTCCAAATACATTTGAAAGGAACTAGAGAGTCTTTGCTTCAAGTCCTTTGAAAGTCTGCTTTTCTAAAAAATACACTTCCACTCTATCTGCTAAAAAGAAGTTGCCTGTTTCTATAAATCACTGTATCTCCTCTTTTCTGTCTTATAGTATGCAATTATTAGTTAACTTAATGCTGACTACAGAACAAAACCAATAGAATTTTTAATATACCTATCACATTTACATATAAAATATCTTTTCTAATTTTTAAAAATTATGTCTTGACAAAGAGCTCTTCTGTTCTCTGAGTCTGCATTGGGGATGATTTTAGTGAATGGCCTAGCATGTGCAATTTGATAAAGTAAGTGAAGAGTCCACTAATCTGGTATTAGGAAGCACACGTCCTATCATTTGAAGTATATCTACCCTATAGCATTGTATTATAAACCTGCAGTACATACAACAAAATTTATTTTCAAGTAGTGAAATGTAAGCACACAAATGATTCTTTTTTTATGAATTGCCTTGGCCATGGTGTCTCCTCACAGCAATAGAACAATGACTAAGATGGATTCATTATTAATCCTTCTAGGCTCTAGATATTTGTGTCATCATTATCTCCCTATTTTGTTTATTTTAATCTCTTACCATTTTATTTTAATCAGTGTATCAATTTTTAAAAATGTGATCCAGTACCAACCAGAATTTTTTACAGATACACATACCCAAGGCCCCTGCCAAACTTTCTGAAGTATTAATCAGGGAGGGTGGCAATGAATTTGAACAAATTCTATGCTTAGAACAAAACAAAAACCAAAAGAACAAAACACGTCTTGCTTTAAAAATCTAATACTATCTGGTAACAAGAACATATGGGGTCACACACGTGTGTGTGTGTTCCTCTATATATGCATGAAACAATTAATGAAAAGGACAGTATCTTTATTAAGGTACAGTCTAACTTTGATATAACTTTCAGTAGAGTACTGGACTGTTTCTGGGTCCCATCTTTCATTCTTTTTCAGACTAGTACACCTCCAAATTTTTCCCTTGCTTTAAATTTCCAGAGATCATTTAAAGCAATAATCACAAAAATAAAAACAAAATTGTCTGCATGCACTGTATTCAAGTGGAATGAAAGTAAGTATGACCAATAAAATACATATTTCACATTATAAATAGAATTATTATAGTTAGGATACTAAGTGCTAAAACAAATTAAGAGTAATGAAATTCTGCTAACAACGTAGAATACCATGGTTTTAATATAATTATAATGGTGATTTGATTTATTAGGAACCTGAGTATGCCTTCTTAGTTGTGAAAATCTATGCCTTATACATTATTTCATCTAGTTTTCATGTATTTCAGGTATTACTAGTGATGAAACTAAAGATAATGATATAATTAAAAATCTCAGCCATGTTACTGCAAAGTCAGTGATGTTAACTGTGGCGTCATACTGCTTCATTTGAGCCCTGGCTCCCAAAGGCTACTTTACTTTCGCCTTTAACACCTATCTCAAATTCTCTCCCTAAGGAATTTTCCTGACCTCTCTCTTGATAGCTCTTCTCTGCATGGCCTTCTTAGGCTAGGTGTTCCTTTTCCTTATTTTTTTTCTTTAAAATTTTAATTGCCCAATAAAAAGTTAGAAATGTGATATATATTTACAACTCGATTATACCCTTGTCCGTTTTCTATTCCCCCAAGACAAACATCCATCAAACTACTTCTCATGCTATTTAAAATCACTAGTATTTTGTCTTGGTCTTTGCTACTAAAGCCTACCAAATTAAAAAGCTGGTAATAAGTTATGTTTTAGCTCACAAATCAAATTACACAGTGTGTAGTATATAGTTAAAACCAATGGAATCAACCTGAACATTGAACCTGAACATTGCTGAGCATGTCACAGGAGTACACTTTGAAAACAACACCCTTGTAGCCAAGAAAGCCCTGAAGTCCATGGGTCCTGAGATTTATTGTGCAAAAACGCATCTCAGGCTTCACATGAAACTATTTGTTCTCATTTTGCTGATTTATTTTCAAGATTTGTAATCTATAAAACTATTGAACACTAATTGATAATTCAATAGATATTATAGACTTTAGGACAGTCAACACTGAAGTAAGGAAAAAATTCTTTTGAAAAAAATTACACAAGTGAAAAGGAAAACTAAATAAAGCTATAAGCTGTTTGGAAAAATTAATATAATTTCCTGACCCTCAAAGATCCTTAAAGTTTACACTGCATAACTTGTGATATACACTAATGGATCTAAAGGCACAAGAAAACTTGTAATTATAATATTCTAAGACAATAGTTATATAAGATTTTGTTTCCATCCACAATGTTTAAAATTTGGAATATTTCATTTTTTAGTTATATTATACTAAACTGGACTGCTAAAGGGGTATTGAAAATTTATCATCACAATTTTATACTATTAAAATTTCAGAAAAGGAAGTTTTAACAAACATTTATATCTGTGATGCTAATAGCACACTACAATGTGAGCAAGTAACTAAGATAAAGTAGGAATTTTCAATTTACAGTCTGTTTAGGGGCTGACAAAATGGCATGTCAAAATTCTTGCTGCACAAGCCTGTCTCCTGAGTTAGATCCCCAGAACCCACGCCTTATACATATGCATCATCATCATCATCATCATCATCATCATCATCATAAATAACAATAATGTTCAAGCGAGGCTTATTATGCTCATATTGGGTGGAAAATGCCATTAGTGATTATTACAAATTAAGAGGAAATGCAGAAATACTGGACATGGTATCTATAAATGTAGAATTGTATTAAATGTTATTTTATCATATAAATCATAAAATTGAGGCTTTTTCCATTATGAAAATATTCATGACTTTATAATTCCAACTAAGTGTTAGCTTTTCCAATTTCAATATGTCAGATTCTAAGCTCAGAGAGATCTGGCTATATATTTAAATGTCATAAGAAATACCAATAGATGCATAGATTAAGCTTAATAAATATTTCTATATTCTATAAATAATTCAAGAGTCCTCAATTATTAGAATATATATGATGTGAATATAAATATAATGAAGTACACTATTTGTTATTTTCAATATTCATAATTATCAAGAAAAATAAGTTATTGATTTAGAGAATTAATAATTTATAATTCCAGGGCAGTATAAGATATTATCAAAGATTGTTACTTCCATTATCCCACCCCTAACATATATTCACCAAGTACAGCCACATACCTGTTCCTGCAGGTTTTGTACTCTACTTTCAGAATCGGTTTACAAGGCTCAGACTTTCTTCCTTCTCTTTGACTTTTTCCTAATGAGAGAAAGAAATAATTAAATCTGACTTAAATTATACTGACCCATGAGAATTTTTTTAAAAAAAATTCCATTAAGAGATATAAACATGGAACAATAACAATGAAAAAATGAAATTTACAAGCCTCTGGGGTGAGTCACGTAACTTCCTGCACTACAAAAACCCCTGAACAGATTCCATTGGCAGGTGATACAAGCACGCCTGAAGCCAAAGGCTCAATAACAGTTTTAATTGTAGATACTGCTTACAGAAGAGAATAGGACAAGCACTAATTTATATTTCCATCAATGATGATTAAGTTTGGAATAATTTTATTACTTTAGTTATATTATAATGTTAAACTGGTCATTTTCATAGTAACATCAGTTTAATCTAAAGATACTGGTTTATTTTTAAAGTGCCCATATTTGGCATAAGTCTATATATTCTAATATTTTATTAAATCTATATGCTTTAGGATAATAACAAGAGACTGCCATATAATCAATGAAGTTATTTATAAAGTATTCACCTTTTGGTGCTTTGTAATCTCTAAATATGGATGTATTTCCTTATAAAATTATCACAGTTACATATGCTCATAAAATAAAGTTTAGGATGCATGATACATCCATAATGAAATATATTATTCACGACTGTGATCAACAGTCAGGAGGCTGAGGCAGGAGAGTTGAGTGTTCAAATCCATCAAAGAGTACATTAGAGTCTCTTCCCCTCCACAAGAAAAAGAAAAGAAAGAAAAAGATAAAATCTTTTAATAAAATCTATATAACTCTCAATAATTTATCTATACTAGAAGTAAACTTTCATATTACAGAAAGTCCTGTCTTAAAGCATATGATAGACTTACAAAATCATGCTTCATTTAAAAATGGTATTACAATGATTAATTTACTGTGTGGAGAGGGGGCACTTATTATAGAGGTAAGAGAACTATTAGTTCTCTTCTTTTGCGATTTGGGTCCCAAGCATTGAAATAAGGTTGTCAAGTCCCATTAATGTTCAGTCTTCAGCTCTAACAACTTACTTTTAGAAAACAGTTTCTTACTTTGATTATATCAATACTTGTCAATGGTTAAAGCATGCTTAAGTGCCATGCTGTATAAAACATTGTATAAAAATTGTCAATTTGATTTGTTGCTATTCTCTATATTCCTAGTATTATATGATATATGTCAGGGTACATAGAAGTAATTAAATTCTAATATGTTTGGAATTTATTAGATTGAACAATACAAACATAAAAATGACAGTATGATGCACCAGAAGCGAATGAGTAACAGACACAACATGCTGTAGAAGCTGTAATTAAACAGGGGCATGGATAGACCAGTTGGACTCCATAAAAGGATAAATGACAGAAAAAAGGATAAATTCTCCAGGTATAAAATAGTCAACTAGTGACAAAATATGTAACTCATTCTCAATATAAACATGGACAGCTTCCGAATTTGGGAGTAATAGGAATAAATCAACATTTCAGAACATGGGTGAAATTAACAAAAAATATTTTTGAAAATTGTATAAAATTAATTCTGGAGACAAACCAGAGCGTATCAAACCAAACAGGAGGAAAGAAAGTGAAGGACATCAAAAACTGTGAAATACCACTAGTCATTACCACCATACACACAAGTGTAATACTGAAAGGCTAGAGAAGTCATGGTAAATTGATAAAGAGAAAACCCTAGGCCAAGGTAATCCAAGCAAAAATGCTGAAAGACAGAAAAAAAATCTTAAAGGCAGAAAGAAAAGTCAAGGTGAAAATGGATGTAGGAAAAGAGCCCAAAGTAAGATTAAACGTCAATTTCAGAAACATTAACGCCCAGAGCGAGAGCAAGATAGTCCAAGTATTAGAAATGAAAACAAGAATTGTCAACTAAGAATTATGGGAGAGGAAATGGTCAGTCTGCAGTTGTCACCCAAACTCAGAGGATACAAGATGTAACTGCCTCGCCAAAAATGTACTAAGCCATGTGGCTAACACAGACAAGAATAATGGCTTAATGTGAAATGTAAGAACTAATTAATAAGAATCCTGAGCTACTTGGCCAATCAGCTTATAATTAATGTAGATTCTGTGTGAATCTTTGGGACTTAACAGCTACAGGACTGGGTGGGACAGAAACTTCAGTCAACAAATAGATCATCTATAATCTAGAATTCCTTTGCCTTCTCTATTGCCTAAAGGATGGCCTCTTATAATTATTTNTAACGCCCAGAGCGAGAGCAAGATAGTCCAAGTATTAGAAATGAAAACAAGAATTGTCAACTAAGAATTTCATGCTGGACAAAATCATCTTTCAACAATAAATTCAAATAAAAACATTTCCCCTAAAACAAAGCTGAATTTGCATCCCAGAACTATCTTAACAACAATATAGTAATAAAAGGTGTTTTTCAGAAATGGACCACAGATGGGGATTTGAACTTATAATAAAAATACTGTACAAAATTTTCATTATTTTGTATTTCTCTTGACATTATCTACTTCACCCATGTTCTTAATTTTATAATATAGAATAGTACAGAATTATGAGTTTGAGAGTTTGAGTTTTTAATTTCTGCATTTCCCATATAATTTTTAATTTCATGTTTTTGTTCTTCTGTATTGATTCGCTTAGTTAAAGATAGTGTCTATTTTCTTTCATTATATCAGTGTTTTATTTCTTTGAGAAAGGGGATGAGAAAATACATTCTACAGTATAAATATTATATCAATCCACATTATATAGCTTTATATACATGAAGTTTTACTCTTATTTCTAACAAACTTTTATACTGTATATCCTGAATAATTGATAAAAAGAAAATAAAAAGACTTTATATCCACATTATATAAGATATAAACAAAAATATTATAAAGAGGGTGAGCCATTGTTGTCAATACAAGTTAGGCAAAGCAGGTGATGTTATCAAAGAAAGGTTTTAGGAGGTGATTGCACCTAAGCTCAAAGATTAAAGAAAGGTGAAATGCTCACAATAAATGACAGAAAAGAATTCTTGGACTATTTCTAAAAGGCAAAAAGATACTGAGTGGGAAACTATAAAAAAAATCTGAGCAGTTTAATAGAAGGGAAATGTGGAACAAGAAGCAGTTAAACAGATGATGAATCAGTTGGAATTGGTCTACTTGAAATCAGTAACAAAAATATCGACAAAAATACAAAAGTTAAGACTCAGAGGTATCTTTAACAACACCAAAAGTTCTAACAAAGCTGAATCATATTCCAGAACAAGAAACAGACAAAAATATATTAAAGGTAGGTGGCAAAAAAGTTCCAAAAATTTTTTAGAACTGTTAATAGAAAAATTAAACAACCAAGGCAAGATGAGACAAAACATTTTTAAGTTGCTGCAAATAAAAGATACAAACATTTCCTGAAAACACCAGAAGGAGAAAACACCAGAAGGAGAAAACACATTCTAAATTGTAGACACAAAGTTCAAAACACTGAGGATTGCTCATTTAGAAAACATTGAAACTAGAAGATGATTGACTATCATTAAAGCAGTCGTTACATTACGTGAATTCCCACCTAGCACACTCTATGACCTGATGTTGACCATAAATCTACATCTAGCAAAATAGTCTTAGAAAGTGGAGATAAAAGATAATTTCAAATAGAAGCTTAATGAAATCATTTCACCAGACCTATGAAATGGCAGTAATATCCACAAATAAAATTATAGAGTATTTTGTCTCTTAATTATAATACATGTGACCATTTAAAAACCACAATATCTGTATATGATATACAATTATAGTATAAATGATAATGAAGATAGATAAGTAGATCTACATGGTTACAAGATGTCTATATATTAAATGAAGTTATAGTTTTAGCACTTATTGAGTAGTTAAGGAAACATTGTGATACTTACAATAAACAATAGAAAAAGATAAAGTGCCTATGAATTAAAATGTATTCCTAATAATATTTAAATTACTTGAAAGTGGAAAAGCAGAGAAAAACAAACGAGTATAGTATGAACAACAGAAAATAATAATAAGTAGACCTGAATCTAGTCATACTAGTAATTATATTTAATGTTAATGGACTAAACAGACTAACATTAAGACAGTAAAACAGAAAACCTAAAATAATAGAAGAGCTCAATGATGCGCTCTGCCAGTCTGCAACATAAAGGAAGGCAAAACTGGAGGAATTAAAGCTGTGGAGGGGCGCTACTGTAGTCTCACAGTCTCTTTTCAAAGTGTGTGTCTTACCATGTGGAACTGTGGTTTGGAAAGGGCGACTTGGGCTTTTCAGGTTCCATAAAGTCAAGCTACCATCCGAATGGCTGCACATGAATTGTTTGCCCTCATGGTGCCAATCAATTGAATGAATAGCCTGGTAAAATAACAACAACAAAAAACAAGTACAGAGGGGGAAGTAGCTATATTATGTCATCATATATTCTGAAAACAGTAATTATTTCATTTTAAAATTGTAATAATCCCTACAGTAGTGTAATTTCTTCGATAAAATAGTTTTTAAGGTAAGATCTACTGAATTAGTATTTAATATTGAATTTCTAAATCTTTGTATCTTTTGTGAATAATTTAACCATTCTGTTGAATACAATGAGACAAGTCCTAGTGGGCAAGAAAATCAAAAGGTGTATAAAATATCTCCTCCCAAGAAACAGAGTGAGGTCAATATGGGTGAATATTAATCATATCTACTGTTCAGAACATTAAGTATGTGTGCTTATACAGTTACGTAACTGAATTCTTTACATAACCAAGTGTGAAATTTTCAGTCAATATATATTATATCAGAGTTACAGCTAACTGCTGTTTTGACAAACCATTAAACAACAACAAAAAAAGATGATTCAGACCTCAATATAAGACTAAACTGAACATAAAATGCAACATGATATCCTGGGCTTGTGAGATTTTGTTTTTCTTTTCGTTTCTTCTCAGTTTAGCATAATTTCTATGCCCAGACTTTTCCCCAAACAGTCTCCAACAAAAGCATTTAGAAACATTCTTCATTGTCTTCTCTGTTTATTTCTTTTCCCTTCTGCAGGCAGTTCAAACAAAATAGCACTTCTTTTGTCAAATTTGCTGATCCTCAGTTTAAAATTCTCTGAAACTACTTGGTCAGCAGTAGAGGATGAGAGAGTGTACAGCCCCCAAGCCTCAGCCTAACCCAGTGAAATCCTACCCACTGGGGAGGAGAGAAAAAATATATAGCTACAACTATAAATGAAGTAGAATTTCAGTAAATAGGGCAATGATGAAACATTGTCTTGTTTTAGAGATCAAGACGATAAATAGTGTATAACTAAGGAGCTGGTAACTGAGCTGATAGAGGGTATTTGATTTTTTGTTTATTGAGTTACATCACATTCTTTCTATCAAAATAGGGACTTAATGGAAACCAAATATCAATAATCAATTCAAGAAGAAATAAAACAAAGAATTTAAAGGAAAAATATGAGTCATATTTTGTCAACGCTAACTTTTTCTTGAAAACAAAAGCTTAAAAACTATATAGCAAGCCGGGTGATGGTAGTGCACGCCTTTAATCCCAGCACTCGGGAGGCAGAGGCAGGCGGATCTCTGCGAGTTTGAGACCAGCCTGGTCTACAGAGCTAGTTCCAGGACAGGCTCTAAAGCCACAGAGAAACCCTGTCTCAAAAAACAAAACAAAACTATATAGCAATCTGACAAAAGGAAATATACAGTTCCCATGGAATCAAAATATTACCCTTATGCCAAATTGAAAGGTTTCTTTGAGCTTATTGAAGAAATATCAATATAAAGAAACAACCAAACCATAACTATTGTAAAATAAATCCTTGCCTTTTTATTACTTACAAAATTTCCACTCTGCATTCTAGGCTGGCCTGAAACTTACTGTGTAGCTCTAGTTGGCTTTTAACTTGAGGAACTCCTACACTGGATTGGGATAAGGCTGTGTGTCTGTACGTTTTCTCGCCCTCTACTTTTGCAGATCAAGTAGCTTCAGAGAATGTGAAACTGACTGCAGTTCAGCAGAGTTGACAGAAGAAGTGCTATTTTGTTTAAACTGCCTTTCCCGCGTGGCTGCGAGCAGAGGCATAACCTAGCTTTAACACCTAGCTGAAAGCAATTTTTTGCAGCTAATTATTTCTCAATATAATACTGGATTTCTAACAAAAATCCAATTCATCTATGACTAATCATCAAGGGACAGTTAGACAGTTCAAATAGCTTTTTGGTGCCTACAGACTAATAGGATTTTAAAATACAAAAGAGACAAGAAGAGAGTTCATATTGAGAAAGCAATTACCAGTAGAAAAATCTTGAAGGTAAGAAAAAATTATATCATTAAGAGAAAGTGAGTAACATGTCCCAGATGTGTGAACTGTTTAACAAGATGCAGTAAATTATACTTTAAAAAAAAAAGTGCCACAGCTTTAATTCTCATTTTTTTAGCCCCTGTTAACAGGGAGTCATTCAAATATCCTAATGTAGAGAATCTCATGATCTGATTAGAACTTTGAAAGATAATCTATTAATGAAGAATATACAGAAAGGTCTATGTTAAGAGACTCATAACCAGTCAAGCAATTTCACGTAGAGTACTAGGTATAGAAATGACAGAGAGGAATTGAGAGAATGGCAATAAAAATAAAGACAAAATCAAAAAGCCTATAAAAACTGATTGTTTATGATATATGAAGAAGAGCAAAATAGGATTACCATGGACATTCTAAACTAGTTTTAAAAGAAAAAAGAACATAGAAAGTGGTATGTGTAATCAAATATAAATTCTGTTCTGGTGATATGTATTTTGACGTACCTATTAAATTGCTAGACATTTAAATTTAAAAGTTTAAGAGAGGAGTAAAGGCCAGGGAGTTGTTAGTTGTAGTAAGCTTCTTGCTTACTACAGTAAGTATTATTAGTATTAGAAATGAGAGACCGTACAAATAAACATAAGTTAGAGGAGGCAACAAAAGGCAGACATAGTTTTGAGGTGGGAGGGGCTCACTACATCATTGAGCCAGCCTCTAACTAGTGGCACAACCTGACTTCCTGCCTTAGTCCCTCAAACGCCTAGTATGTCCCAGTGTTCCAGACTTGAGAATCTATAATCTAAATGAATCAGAGACGGAGAAAAGAGGCAAATAAACGAGATAGGCACAAACAAACCAAAGAAACAATTTTAAGAACGGACTTTGAAAAATTACAGCAGAGACCACTATGTGCAGTGCTGGGAAGAGTATATATGATTTATAAAACCATCTTATGAATTTATTAAAGATAGTTTCTAGTTATGACAAAGTAATAAGAAAGTTTGAAAAGTTTTTCAGCTACATAAAGCTTATAACTATCTCTATTAGAACGACATAAACTACAAATGTGTAGTATAATACCTATGTGTGTGTATGATTTACATCAATACATAAAATAATCTCTATGTATAAATTATAGACAATCATATTATATTAATTTAGAATATTTCTAATCTTTATTTAAAGTTTCAGTTTCAGAATTAATATGCTTATTTCTTAAGGTTGGAAAATTTATTTTCTACAGTTTAGGCTTAAGGAAAGCATAATTTTCAGCATTTTCCTTTTGGTTTCCTATTGATCTGGTCTTTTCCAACTCTAACAAGTTAAACCGTGTTTGTATTTTTCTCTAGCTCTTAGTCTTAAAAAAGGGAGAAATATTTATAATGTATCATTGCATTTTGTGTATTTAACAACAGCAAACAGCCAGCTCTGCTCTGTGGAGTCATTTTTCCTTATGATTCAGATGTACTGAAAGTGAATATGAAGAACATAATTAATTTGTGCTATTACTTGCATGGTTGTTTTTCACCAATTATGACCAAATTGCTCAGACACTACACAATTAACTTCTAGACTCTTTGGCAATGTAACTATCTCATATATATGGTAAAATAATAGTTTGAGAGAACCATTAAGAATTAAACTGATTTTTATAAAATAAAAATTTCTACTGAGATTTTATTTTGATTTTTAGTAATGTGTATACATACATGTGTTGAGTATGTGCACACGGGTATAGTGCCCGAGGAGAGCAGAAGAGGGAATCAGATCCATAGAGCTGGACTTACATTAGCTGTGAGCTACCAGATGTGGATGTTGGAAACACCCGTATCCTGTGCAAGAGCAGTACATGCTCTTAACCATTAAGACATTTCTCTAGCCCAATAAATATATCTTTAGGGACCAAAACTCTAAATTTTTAATTGTTTTAACAGGAAAGAAAATGTTGAGTATTCGAAGGCAACTAGAAGTCCATTGGGTGATATTTTTTATTCTTCTAATCTAAAACTGAAGTGTTCTAAAAAGAAATAGATGAGTCTGTTTTCTATTTACTTCCATGCTTCCTTAAATTATGTGACATCTATCCATATAAGAGTGGGTGCTAGCTAGGCAGAGATTTTGGGTCAGTGTTTTCCTTCTGTCTTGTCCCACCCCTACTTTACTTCTAATCTAAGGGTGGAGACGATCATCTTTGCTACCCAGCCTCAAGAAATGAGTTCCCTTTTTATCTTCTCTCAGCTGCACTGTCTTCATACAGCTTCCTCTAAATGGGAATAAAGGCCTGGAATCAAGAGTCCAGCTGAAATGTCATCTGGGAGAAACCTAATCAAGAATCAATTGTATATAATAAAATTTACCTCAAGATAGTGTCATTTATTTGTTCTTATACACAAAACAATTTCATTATTCTAAGAAGATAAATAATAAAGGGGAAAAGCTTTTCAAACTGTCTTGAACTCTTAGCCAAAGAAAACGAATTGTTTAGGAAGCCTTGACTAGTGCCTTTAGAAATGTGAAAGTCAAGAAGCAAGATGTGAGTATGGAACCTACATAAAAGAAATGAGATGAGACAAATCAAAAAAGTGTCATAAGGGAAAGAATAAATAAAAAGCCAAAACTAGGCAGTAATCTCCACAGTTGGCTGTCAAGGCAGAATTCTCATTCAAAAATAACAGTTGGAACTTATACAAGTAACAAAAGAATATTAAACACTGAGTAAGGACAGTATGGTCCCAGTGATCAAAAATATTAGTAAAGCACAAAATTTCAGAGCAGAAAAGTGGCACATAGTCCCCAAACTTTCCAAATATGTCAGCAGAAATCACTTACCTCATCATAATAAACTCTCAGTTCTGCTCTTTTAGATTTCAAGTCCCAGAATACTACAGTACCATTTTCATAACCTATCAAAAGCTGGAAAACAGTAAAACAACCATTTTCTTAATTCTGATATTAATTTTAATGGTGTTCAAATAAAAAGTTATAATACTACTATAAAGAAAAAGCATGCTACACAACACAGCCTGATTTGTCCTACCTTTTCTAGCACTTAAATATGCTTCCTACTACTTTAAAATTGTTTTTTAAAACAAAGATGCTGATACAGCAATTAACAAATAACTTCTGTTGCAATATAAACATAACCAGAGAACGCTGCCCGTTTCAAAGAATCAAGGAAACATGTAAATAAACATGATACAATATAGTTTGTGAAAATTTAAAGATAGAAAATGAAGACAAAATAATCGATGAAGTGTTATATTTAATTGGCTACTAATATAAATATATAAATATAATATAAAATAGTTTTAAATTTTGTCATATCAACTCTATTTACTTTGAGCAAATATTTTATCATATTATCACCTGAAGATGCTGGTGCCGCCCCTCATTCTGGGGATCAAATGTAGGACCTTGTACATGTCAGACAGAATCTCTGCCACTGAACTACATCCAAAGCCTTGAGTACATAGCTTAAACTAATGGCTTATAAACCTTTAGAAGTTAAAGCTTTTTAAAAATTCTCTATTAAATTAACATTAGCTAATTGTAGCCTACAATATAAATTTTACAGGGTCTAAAAGCACCCTGGAGACGAATGTCTGCTGGGGACTTTCTAAATTAGATTAGTTGACGTGAGTTGACCTGTTCTAAATGTAGATGGCAACATTCCATGGTCGCAGGCTGTGGATCCCCTAACCAGGAGAAAGCTTGCTGAGCCTAAGCGTGCATCACTCTTTCCTTCCTGACTGTGGCGATAATGTGATCTGCAGCATCATGCTTCTTATGTCTGTGTGCCTTCCATACATGATAGACTTTCCTCCAACCACAAACGAAAACCACCTAATTCCATAAGGTGCTTTGGTCAGATGTTTGTTTCAGCAATAAGGAATGTAACTACGAATACAATGGTGCTTATACTTAATATCAATATAAAGTATTTGAAAAGCAATAGTCTTTCTTTTAAAATAGAAGAATGTAACAAAATTGAAACATTATCAAAGAAATACATTTTTACTTATTCTATTCATGTTTTTATGTATATGATATTTTGCCTGCATTGTATGTAGACCACATGCATGCCTGGTTCCTGTTGAGACCAGAATTGAGCATCAGAGTCCCTGGTACTGGAGTTATAGTCAGTTGAGAGCTGCCAAGTGGGTGTTGGGACCTGAACTGAGATCATCTTCAAGAGTAACAAGTACTCTCAACCACTGACCCATTTTGCTAGCCCCTAGAGTTATTTTTAATCTAGCTATACCTTATATCCAAATGCAAAGTTAAGGAGCTACACATGATAATGTTTAAATTGATTTGACAAAAGTGTTGAACTTTCTGGTATGCCAACTTAAAGGAAATTATTTTTAAAAAATTTAAATTGAGAGTTTAGAGGGAAGAAAGGAAAAGGGAAATGTCATTGTACTAATCTCAAAATTAAAAGAAAAAAATTTAATAATGTTCAATATCCTTAGCTATCATGAAGATCAAATGAAAACCATTTTCAGATTTCATCTTAACCCAACCAGAAGGGCTAGGATAAAATAAATAAATGAATAACACCCACAAATAACAGCAAATGCTGATGTGCAATGGAGAAAGGGGAAACTGACTCACTAATGGTGGGAGAGTAGACTGGTGCAGATATATGGTGGTTCTTCAGAAAGCTGGAGATAGTCTACCGTGTCATCCAAGCATACCACCCATGGACATAAGCAAAGGACTGTACATCTTACTACAGAGATGTATATCCATGTTCATTGTTGCTCTCACAATAACTGGCAAATGGAAACAGCCTAAGTGCCCATCAACTGATGAAATGCATAATGAAATGTGACACATTAATACAATGCTATATTATTCAGCTATAAAGAAAAATAAACTTATAAAAGGACAAATGGGTACAACTGGAAAAAAAAAAACATCCTGGGTGAGATAACCCAGACCCAGAGAGATACTCTGTGAGATTAATCCTTAGGTGGCAGGGTTACCGGGGCCAAGAGCTGTTGGCTGTACAAGTCATAGCCCTAGGGGAGAACCTACCACTATTATTTTGCTAAATGGATATTGTGTAAAACCGACTCCTGAAGGCTTACTACCGACTCCTGAAGGCTTACTGCTATACCCATGGACTAATGGGTCTCTCGCCCCTCCTTAGAAAAGTTTTGTGCAGTAAATGAGAACTAAAACAGTGCTGCTACTGGTCAAGGCCAATGTGCAGAAGATAAGACTGCAGATTAGATGGGCTTAAAAACAGAGAAAGCAAGAACTTGTATGGGTAGGGAGATGGGATTGAATGTGAAGAGTTGGGGACAGTTATGAACAAAAATAATACATAAAAATTCTCAAAGTATTAACAAAAATATTTTTAAATACCACTTAATGAAATACACATAAATATTAATTGAAATTTCTACTTTTAAAAATATATATGAAAAGTTACCAATATTGCCAACAGCTAAACAATGTTAAATGGAAGGAATCTTTGTCTCACTTCTGCCCAAAGGGAAAAACAAAATCAGCATTAAGGAGGATATATTCACAGCTTTGTGTAAGTTTCACAGCTTAGGGTCCACAAAGTTCCTTTTTTCCCTTAGAGTGAGAAAAGATCATTTTCATCATGAAGGGAATTTTACTAAAGCCTCTTTTGTATCAGCTTTCTTTATGTTTTTCTTGTTTTGCTAATATGCAAAGATACTGATTTTAAAAAGTTAAACTATATCCCAAGTATAAAGAAAAACTGGTTGTGGTCTTTTGTGACTTCTCCTTCACATTTTGTTTATTTTACTGAGGTGTGGTCTTGTTATGAAGACCTGGAATTGGTGATCTGATTGATCCAGCCTCCCAAAGAGCTGGGAAGACAGGCATTAGACAATGACCTGGCTTCATTTATTGTTTCTCTGCTTTTGTTTTATTAGTTAATATCATGGATTCATGTATTGCCCTTATAGCCTAGCTGCTTTTTACAGCAATTTATACCCATACTGCCAGATGGTTAAATATTGCCACCTGGCCTCTAACAACTAGATATTCAATCCCCACAGATATTATGGAGACTGGCTCTTTGCCATCATTTCCTGCTGTCAACAAAGGCCTAAAAAAGATAGCCACTACCTACTGTTGTAAATGTGGTGCCTGCTTTTCCAGAGTATTCCTGCCTTACTAAGTAGAAACAGCACCCTTAGAGGGCTCTTGGGCAGCACTGAGGAGAGGACTTAGTTAATACTCTCCATTTTTGCTTCTTCTGAGCTGATCCCTTAATACTGCATTAGAAGGTATAGTTGGTATCTCTAGTTACCATATGTCTCTGTTGAAACAAGGCTTCAAAGGATTAGCCCTGTAAACTACTAGGGCACATGTCCTCACCAAAAGATTATATCCCAAAACATGCCCTATGTAATACACTGACTTCTATACAGCCTCCAAGTTCAAACCCTTAAAAATCATTGCTAAATGTATTCCTTTGGTGACTAACAACATTAGGTCCTCAGTTTCTTTTGTAAATATATATTCTACTTATTTTATGTATATTCTGTTTCCTTATAGAGAAAGACTTATGTATCGATGTTAGATTATAATGATATCTGAGGTGTGATTCTGGTTTTACACCTGAGTTCATGACTCCATGTATCTGTGTGAATATAATTATAGTCTCCTAAAGCAGGAAAATTATTTTCTCTAAGCAACAGTGAAAGGGATAATTTTGCTGGTCAAATGGGTTCATGAAAGTTGAGGCTGTTTCAAAGAATTACAATTTTCTCAGGGTTACCTTTATGTTTCCCTGTTGTAGGTATGATAGTTGAAAAGCATGATTTTAAAAAAGTTATATATTCATTCAAAACTTCAAATATGTAGCCTTATTTTTGAAATAAGGTCTTTTAAATGTACAATTCATTAGAGTTTTGTGACAAAATCACCCTGGACTTAGAGTGAACCCAACCATAAACACAGTGGCTGGTAACCTTCTAGATAAGGAAAAGACACAAAGAGACAGGAAAGGTAGTCATAAGAAGATAAATGCAGAAGTCGGAGTTATGCTTCAAGTCAAGCTACATGAGGCAAGAAAAGTGACCCATAGAGATGTTACAGCAGTGGTTCCAAACTACAACCCTTTAATACAGTTCTTCATACTGTAGTGACTGCCAACCATAAAATTATTTTTACTGCTACTAAATTATTGTAATTTTGCTGTTTTGAATCAATGTAAATATCTGTGTTTTATATAATGGTCTTAGGAGAGCTCTGTTAAAGGGACGATCAACCCCTAACAGGATCAAAACCCACAGGTTGGGAACCCAAGCTTTAGAGGGAACACAGTCTAACCAATATATTGATTTAAGACTTCTGGCTTTTAGAGTTTTGAAAAACTAAATATTTATTGTTTTAGGTCATTCAGTCTGTGTTCATTTGCCATAGTAACTTTAAGAAAATAATTTTTAGGAACCTGGGATAATGTTCTTTCCTAATAATGATGACACGGGCTTATCAAAAGGATAACAATTGGTTTCTTCATAAACCGTTCTTGATCCCAATTTTGGCAATGTTTTTCTGTAGGCAGAGTAAAAAAACGGCCCCATATGTCAAATAGTTTAATGTCACTCCACTTGGAATCTTCAACAAATCCTTTGACTTTATAGAGAAGAAAATCCAACTATAAATATCCCATGGAGAGCAATAATCTCAACAAACTCAAAGAGATTGCAGATGTTATGATTTATTATCTAAATATATTCTCTGGATCCCATTATTAAAGGAAAAGTGTAGAGGAAGCAAGATGACTCAAAATTATGCCAACCGTTATTTCATGGGGTGAGTCAGACGAGACACATCAATAATTATCTGGAAGGTATGGACTTGTGGCCTTGTCTCTAAATCATGACAGAACAACCCAGTTAAAGGGAAGAGCATAATTCATTCCCTGTCTCTTGTCTGACATTGGTTAAAATTGATTCTTGGGAAGTTAATATCTCTTCACTAGAGAGTCATGTTATTTGACACCTGTGACAATTTTTAGGAAAGGCAGAAGGTATACTTTATGTTGTAGAACCCTTGTGAGTCTAGAATTAGTGAGAAGGGGGTGTTGTTGCTTATAGCTAGTGAACTTCAAGAAGTAAGGCTGTAAGAAGTTTATTAACCTTTCCAAACCTAAAGTGAGACAAGCAGGGAAGTGTCAGGAGACAACACTAGAGAATCCAAAAAGATGTAGAAACACATTCAACAAAATTCAATGTCATTTACAATTTAAAACTCTCAGAATACTAGAAATAGCTGAGAATATTTTTGTTCTTTTTGTGAAGTGAGGGGTGAGTAGATGATGCCAGAATCTAGGGCCTCAACTTCCTAGCTAAAACTCTAAACCCAGGAATAAATCATTTATATCCAACAATGTCCTGGCCAACAAAACATAAGATACATATAACTCTATGTAGAAAAAGCAAAAGCTATCTATATTTGTTAGACTTTAATAAATAATTTACACCAGAGAATCTAAGAACAGATACTAAAAAACAAAACATTCAATGATGCGGCCATTTAATAAAACAGTATTTTATATACTAACAATAGTCAGCTATTATCAAAATGATTTAATGAAAATTAAGTCAGAGGCCAGCAATATGTGTTCAGCAGGTAAAGGCACCTGCAGCCAAGTTTGATAACCTGAGTTCAATTCCCAGAATTTATGAGAGAAGACAGACCCCACAAGGTGTCCTCTGACTTCACACACACCCATGGCAGATGCATGCCCCACTCCCACAAACACTAAATGTAAAAAAGTTAACTCCTAACAGCAATAAATCTAAATCAGTATATAGAATTAAGTTAACATAAAAGGATGTGAAATTTTTATGAGAAATATTTTAAAGTATGTAGTATACACATACAAATACAAATACATTATTCACATAGTTTAATGCCTCACTGCTCTGGAATTTTCTTTTAAAGTGTGCCTTAAGTGAATTATCCATTATCTGTGTATCAACATTCATTTATTTAGCTTTCAGTTAATAGACATATTATGCCTTATTCACATAAATAGTGTGGATATCTGAAGATTATCTAGGTCAAATTATTATTTTTTACTATATTCTTAATGACTTTATTGAGCTATACATTTTCTCTGCTCCCCGCCCTGCCTTTCCCCTCCCCCCTTCAACTCTCTCCCATGGTCCCCCCATGCTCCCAGATTACTCAGGAGATCATGTCTTTTTCTGCTTCCCATGTAGATTAGATCCTTGTATATCTATCTAAAACCCACTTAAGAGTGAGTGCATGTGATATTTGTCTTTCTGGGTCTGGGTTACCCCACTCAATATGATGTTCTCTAGATTCATCCATTTGCCTACAAATTTCAAGATGTCATTTTTTTCTGCTATGTAAGTCAAATTATTTAAAGCATGTGTCTTATTTAATAACACTGTTTTCTGTGCCTATATATTTGCATGTCTAATCCAAATTATGAAATAATTGGGATAGTTTTATAATATTATAATGTGTTAGTTATGTCTGCATAGCTGCATGGCCTTTTCCACTATCTAGTACTATTATTTTTAATATTTGCCAGCCTGATGAGAAAGTTGTAACATTTCCCTGACTGCCAATGAGGGTGTTTCTTCTACATCCCCGTAGAAACTACACCTGCACATGAAATAGAACTTTATTTACTTCAGAAAAAGCTTGCCTCATTTGCCTTTTAAGGATCTAGGACAATTTATTTTGAAATTTGTTTTAGAGATTATAATATAATTACATCATTTCCTCCTTCCCTTTTCTCCCTCCAAACCCTCCCATGTACCCTTTTCCTCTATTTTGAATTAATGGCCTCAGTTTTCATTAACGGTTGTTACATGCATATGGGAGTTTGTGTGTGTGTGTGTGTGTGTGTGTGCATATATCTTTATCTATATTCCTTGATACTTCTGTACAGTTTTGCACATTATGATCAACCCTTTCAGTCTGTATAATGTCACTTATGTGTGTGTTAAGGACTGACACTAGGTACTGAACAGCCAGTTGGAACGCTATTGCCGGGGAAGACTTTCTCCCACTCTCAGCTTTCCTCAACTGTAGTTCTTTTTATATGTTGGAGCTTCGCAAGCTTTCGTCAACAAGAAATAAACTCTGACAAGTAGCATTACATTCTAATTATAGATCAATTTAGATGTACCTAATATTGCTTCATCAGTTGAACTTGCCTTCCATGTTGGATCTTTGTTTGACTACACAATTCCTATCCTTCAAAAATAATTCACAAAAATGTAAACCTACAGTAAAAATATTTCATTATAATTTTTATGGTACCTATTAAGAATTATATACTTGACAAAATACCCATAAAGACAATGTTTTAGAACTCAAGCTACCAAGTATTTCATTATCAAAGGGAAATTATGAAATAATGATTTTTATAATTAATAATGTGTTAGCTACATATGCATAGCTGTGACCAAAATATCTAGGTCAATTAAAAAGAGAAAAGATTTATTATGATTTATGGTTTCAAACAGTTAGTCCTTATTAATCTTGAGGATGAGGAAGAACTGAGCTTTTCATGTCAGGGAAGACCACAAAGCAAAGAAATTGCATCTAGGAAGAGGCCAGGGGAGAAATAGACCCAAGAACTCCCTTGTGAGCTACTTCCCTACTAGACTATCTCCTACCTTTCCCACCCCACCAGGGACTGATCCATTGAGCAAGTCAGAGGCCTCATTTTCTAACCAGCCCTAGAAACTACAGCACAGAAACACTCAAAGGTGAGTTTCACTAATCCCTTGGACTTTATCCCAATGAAATGGCAAATATTTTCTATATTAATGTATACTTAAAATAAAAATTATCTAATTTGTGTTACTGGATATTAGTTATGACTTTGTTAATACCAAAGTCAAATAACAAATACATGATTAATGACAAAAATCATACTACTAAGGTAAATCATATGATATTTAGAAATAAAAACTGCTTTGTAACCTTTTCAACAATGCATATTTAAGATTCAATTTTAGTTTTAGGCAAACTAAAAACTTAAAGCATTAGTAGCAAGTATATCCATTTATTTGTTTACTTGCTCATTCATACTTTAAGTATTCTTTTTAGATACCACTGAATGCTACAAACCAATTAAGATGTTAAATCTCAAGAAAAAGTTTAAAACATCTTTTTCTAAAAACGAGGAAAGCCAAAGCAAGAATGATGCAGTGTACTTACTTTCCCTTCATCTCTTGGGCTATCACTTAAATGAACAACTGGGCCTGGATGAGTCTTGGTGGATCTGTTAAATTAATAGCAATAATTTAAAACTAGGCACCAGAGAATGACAACAAAATTAAAATTAAGCTTGAATACACTCCAGTGTTGTAGGGCGAAGCGGAATTGGCACAGTTCTACTTTACTTCTTAAGAACACAAAATCCACAAAGAGCCTTTACAAAAAGTAAGGACTATTTAAATCCTAGGAACTATTGTAAAGTGGTCAGTCATTCTAGGCTTCTCAGTGATTTCTCAAAGTGAATCAAAGGACTACATAGATTAGATACTGGGAAATTTTGTGAATGGATTCATTCACCCAATTGATAGTGTATTTTCTCATCTAAAACTGGATATAGTACCATTGACCTTATCGAAAAAATATTTTTTCAGTATGTGTGTGTATATTATAAATTTAATGGCAAAAGATAGATCACATTCAATAGTTTGAGATCATTGTTCTACTTAAAAATCAGATTTATATTCAAGAATATATTCTCAAAGAAATTAAACAAGGCTACAAAGAACGGTTTATAGAGTTTTTTAGTTCTATATATGTAATAAATACTTAAAAATTATTGTAGTGTTCTAGAAAAGATAAATGCTCCTTATAAAGAATAGTATTCTTAATTATTCTCTAATAAATAGTAAGTCAATAAACCAAAACTGCCATCTGTTATTGGATTTGGGTGGAACAACAATTGTTAAAATGTATTGCATGATAAACCAGTGAAAACAAGACGTTTCATAGAAAAATCTATAATCAAAAAGTTTGGAAACTCTAAACAATGTAAAATATTTTACCTATTAAAAATGCATAGTAAGTCTGCATGCAAATACAACCATATATTCAATTGTTTCCAATTATGACTATTGATATGTCATAAAATCATGTTAGAGGAATATATTTTGGAAATACAGGTTAGACCATATGTTAGACTCTTCCACTTAGAGCCTTACTATACAATAAAAGTGGTTTGCTTCAAAAGATTATTAAACATTAAATTGCTATTTGTAATGAAATTTTAAAGTATAAAAGTAATTATTTTATAGTATATCAAGAGTTAAGGGGAAATATTTTATGCTGCCTTTTTCCTACTTAAAGATAATGACTATTAACATGTTGGCTTATTTTTTGTCTGTTTCTCTAACATTAACTTCCAAAACCTCAGAAAGTACCACTAGCAAAACATAACTTAGAAAAAACTTTGAGATAGATATTTCTAATGTATCTTAAGGAGTAGAGAGTGATTAAAAGACAATTCAGGAAACTGGGAGTTGATATTTAAATTTATATCAATCATAGAATTAAATTCTATGGAATGCACTTTGGAAATACTAGTATAATTAAAATCATTGAGATTAGAGAAATAACTGTTACCTAAACAGATTTAAGATTCATTAAAATAGTGTTTTAATTAAAACTTCAGTGAGTAACAGAATGCATAGGAAAATGAGTCGGCATCAATCAAACTTATCTTCCTAAGGACTCAACATGTATTATAAAACTAGCAACAAATAAGTCTGTTTCTTACTAAAACATAGACTAAAAGAGGGTAATACAGAGATCTCCCTGGAGAGGAGAAATCGACAAGATCTCCTGAGTCAATTGGCAGCATGGGGGACAAGGGGGAGGATGGAAGGGGAGGGGGGAGGGGAACAAAGGGAAGGGGAAGGAGAACTTGAGGGATCTGGATGGCTGAGTTGGGGGAAGGACAGAGAGGGGGAGCAAGGAAAAAGATATCTTGATAGAGGGAGCCATTGTGAGGTTAGGGAGAAACATGGCACTTGGGAAATTCCCAAGTATCCACAGGATGACCCCAGCTAAGACCCTAAGCAATAGTGGAGAGGATGCCTGAAGTGCCCTTCCCCTGTGATCAGATCGATGACTACCTTAACTGTCATCTGTCATCATAATGTCAGATATTCATAATGTCACCATACTTCCATCTGGTAAATGATGGAAGCAATGTAGAGATCCACAGCTAAGCACTGGGCCAAGCTTCTGGAGTCCAGTTGAAGAGAGGGAGGAGCAATAACATGAACAAAGGGGTCAAGATCATGATGAGGATACCCAGAGACAGTTGACATCTAGCCAGAGCTCACTGACTCTGAACTGACTGGGCGGAGCGGGGGGGAGGCAGTTTCTGGGGCCACTGTCAGTGGGACCAGTATTTATCCCTAGTGCATGAACTGGCTTTCTGGAGCCCATTCACTATGGAGGGATACCATGCTCAGCCTAGATACTGGGTGGAGGGGAGGTTGGGGGAAGCTTGGTGCTTCCTCAGTGTGATATGACAGACTGTTGACTCGCAGTGGGAGACCGCACCCTCTCTGAGAAGTGGATAGGGGTGGGGTGGGGTGGGGTAAAGGTGGGGGGAGAAGGAGGAGGGGAAGAAGAAGGAACTGGGATTGGCATGTAAAATTAAAAATAAAAGGTTGTTTTAAAAAAAAGCTAAAAAAAAAAGACCAAAACTATGTTTATGTGTGCACTACACAAATAAATACTTGAAGTGTATAAGACTGTAGGTTTGAAATGCTTCCCATTTTACATGTGCAGTAGTTTAAATACCACTGCCAAAGCTAAAGCAGTAGTTTTGGAGAGATGGCTCAGAAGTTAAGAGACCTGCCTGCTCTTCCAAAGGACCCACATGGCAGCTCCCAACCACCTGTAACTCCAGTTCCGGGAGATCTGGTGCCCTCTTCTCTGGCCTCCACAGGCCCTGCATGCATATTGTTCACTGCCCCAACATGCAGGCAAAACACCCATACACATAAAGTAATAAAATAAAACAAAAAAGTTCAAGTTGTTCATCAAAACATGAAGGAGATTGAGTAATTGCTTCTTTTTGTTCTGAGAACTATATTCTAACAAGGCAACAGATAAACTATTATCAATAATGATGTCTATTGATTAATTTCATATAAAACAATCCATTTTCACTATGATTATGCTAATGTTAATTACAATATCATTTTATAGTGCTATTATATTTTATTATTATGGTTGATATATGTAAGCTTTTATTATTCACAGTATTTGTAATGTATAAAATACATTGATACATCTATATCTATTTTAAAATTATCTGTGGTTTTATTTTAGTTCAATTTTATTTAAGTTAATTGCATTATAATCCAAACAGGTCACATAATATATGCAATATTTTAGTCAAATAAAATGACAACCAAGTTCAAACTTACAGTTCAATTGCTTTGTTCCACATGATGACATATCCAGAAAGAATGAAAGATTCAATATTTACAATATGTGTATTTCCTCTTTCTGTTCCAACATAGAGCCATTTACTCTGGAAAGGTAGATGACAGTAAGTAATTCTGAAAGAAAGAAAATTACAATTAAAATATCTAAATTTTTCATTTGATCAATACATTTTCCTTACACCCATCACACTACATAAGTTATATTTATATATGTGATAGGAAATAATGTATCAATAAAAATAATGATAATCACTATTAAGTGTCTATTATAAGTATAAATTTACTGTGTCTAGTTTTAAATTTTTGACCAATGCACAAGTTGTAAATAATAATGGAAACAATGTGATTTTTGATACATATGTACACTGAAAATATTTAAATCCGGTTTATCATTTCTAAATTATAAAGCCATGTAAAATCTTTTCTTCCAGCATTAATAACGGTGGTACATTATTGTCCTTTACGGTCATCACACTGTAACAGTATTTCAGAGCTTCCTTCTCATATCTGACATACAGTGCCCATTAATCAACCTTCCCCAGCTTTCTCTGGCACCCTTCCTTCTTACAAAGCCTCCTCTTCTGGTACCCACCATTCTCATCACTATTTCTAAGAGATCAACTTCACTATCTGTCATTCTGAATACAGCAATGCAAATAAGAAACTAAGATCTTTTTCAGTAGCAGAAAACTGAACTTTCTTTGAAGATATTTTTATTAAACCACAAAGTACACAAACTCAAAATGAAAATGTTCTGATAATACTTATAAAACTATGACTAGGTATCTACTTTGAAAACGGAAGCATTCTACAAGGTAATTTAAAACTGTCTATTAAGATGGAGATAACTCTAAGTACTCTAGATATTATATACAAAATACAATATAAACCTGTCCTATAAATGTTTTTGTCTGTATAGATGCATGCATAAGACTGAAACTGCTTTATTATTGCTGAAGTCCAAAGTGCAAAACAGTGGTGCAAAGCATTCCTGTTCAGTTACAAAATTAGTATCTTCACACTGAGCTCCACAGTTTGTTTATTGAAATAAAAGTCAGCTCAAAGATAAATTAGGGACATAATGAATGCAAATTTTTGAGTTCATGAAGAGGTAGTAGTTATCTACAGAAGATGTTTCGCATTTGTGTAGTAGGGGGAAGGTGGTAAGGCCAGAGAAGCCTTCTATTTTTCCTTTAGTGGTGTCTATGTGTGTGTGTGTGTGTGTGTGCACGCGCACAACGTGAAATGTATATTTGTGTGTGAGGGCTTACATGTGCCACAGTGTGAATGTGGAGGTCAGAGGACAACCCCAGGTACTGGTCCATTTCCATCTTGTTTAAGGCAGAGTTTCTCTCACATCCCACAGCGCTGCATTCTTCAGGCTAGTTGTCCTGTGGGATTCTCTTTCCTCTACTTCCCATCCTACTGTAGTAGTGCTGAATCACAGACCTGTGCCACTGCTTCCGGACTTCCTTTAGTTTCATTATTCTAGTCTCATCTTCGTAATGGACTTCCTGGTTAGCTCTGAGAACCAATGCAGGGCTAGAGCCATCAGGACTACTACATACGTAATGTGAAGTTTAATGACTAATCTATTAACATTGTAATTAGTCCATGGTTTGCATTCATTGTGCTCTTCTAGACACTCTTAAGACAATAAATTCCCAGATAATCTCTTTCCAGAACATGTTACTGCATCAAATATTTCCTGGCGTATACCTGGAAGATTATCTACTGAACTATCAGAAGAGCTGAACAAAATTTTGACATTAGGCAAACAGATCAACTTTAAAAAGAATGTGAATAGTGAATTCACGTGACTCCATTCTATAATGCACACAAGAGTGAAACGTGCGAGTGTGATTGTACAAAAGTCGACACTGAGTAGTCAGTGTATCCAGTGCATATTTCAAGCCTGCCACATCGAGTTTTCAATCTCCCATCTCTCTGAACCAAATGTTATCTATCCTGTGGAAAGCTCCAGGCCACGACACTAAAATCATTAGAAACCTGCTGTGATATAAGCAACTGCAAAGTTAATTGATTTTTTTCCTAATTAATGAATAACCTACATGATACTGGAAATCTTTGACTAAAACATGAAGTCTAGAATTGCTGTCTCCAAAGGATATACACAGGAAATAACTTGATGGTGTTGTTTCTAGGCAATGAATGATCAATTTAACCTTTAATAGAAAATGAACTCATTTTAAAGTAGCTATGAGATCACAAGGAAATAAATCTTCTAAATCACAGGTAGATAGAGAAAACAGTTTCAGAGCTTCAAGGAAACCTTGATGTGACACAGCCATCTGGGCAGTTAGCACATAAAATCTGAGAACTGCCACATTCAGTAAGGAAACCTGAAGCAGGAGGCAGAATTCCAATGTAAACAGACCTTATAGAACAGGAAGAATAAAATACAGAAGAAAAATCCCAACAGAAAGAACTAGCCTGTGAAGTAACTCCCTGATGATGGTAAGTAAAGAAGAAACTAGACGAGGTCTTTTGTGCCACCCATCACTCATGGGTGGTACAGGGTTATAATAACCATATAAGATTTCCAAACGTTACCCGAACAAAGCAGGTTGACTTACTTAGATGAATGACATGGACAAAGGGTATGAACATACTTGTTATGCGTACTTAATAATCCTAATAATTATTTGATAACTTTATACAACTTAATTTTTATTTATTAAGTCTTCACTTGTAACTGATTTTGACTAATGCCACCTAATATGCAAATAATTTTAATCTGTTATATGTAAGCCACGGAAGAATAATCTTGTTTCCCTGTCCATATTGACTATCACAAAGCATTTAGATATTCTTAGCTTTCCACCCACTCAACAATTCAACCTTCATTGAGGAAGTCTTTATAAAAACTAACTCCATCCTTTTTATCTGATACATACGTGATGAAAAACATACACAAAAAAATAAAATCAAAGTGTGTTAATGTCTAGAAAATTTTTAAAAGAAAAGGCTCATTGGAGAGTAAGGAAAATTATGAAGATGAAAGTTCTTTTTAGACTATTAAAGGTCAATATACAACATAAGCGTTTTTCACACTTAATGTACAGACTATCAAATTTTTTCCTGATCCTCACTTAAGACTCAATTTAGAAATCCTGTAATTTAATATTTGAATTTTTATAACATAATATTGATATGGGTTTGGGGCCAAGTTCTTTCAAGGTTGGTGTGTTTGTACTTTGTGTTTTTTTTTTCACCACTTTTACCAACTGAGCTGCTTTAAACTCTTTCATAGCAGGTCATATCTTATTTTACATGGTTTGGCATGAGTTAATTTTTAATGATTTTTCTGATAGATATTTTTAAATAGTGATGAGCATCAAACACATTCTAGGTGAACGCTCTAACACTGAGCTACATCTTTGGCCCTAATGTTGTGCATCTGTTCAGATATTTAGAGAAATTATTAACTACAGAAGCAGCACATGCCCTAAATATAAATGACACTATCCAATAGTAGGGAGTCTGGATAAAAGGAGAGAGAGAAGAGAGAATGCCTGTTGTCTCAGGCACGTCTGGCTTCTCTGAGATGAATAATTTTGACTTATGTCCTTATGCCATGATTTTCTGCCTCTCCATGGTGCAGAAACACTCAAGTAATTGTGGACTGATACATTTGAAACCATGAGACTAAATCAATACTTATTCCTTTGTTCCCTGAGATAATTCTTTTTTTTCCCTGAGATAATTCTGTGTTGCAAAACATCTAACACATAAATAGTTCACTTCTGATATGTTAGTAATCCATAACAAAATCTAAGTATTTGGTATTAACAATCATAAACGCAAACCCAACTTTGTAAACTGAACCTGTATAGCAGCATTTTTGGATAAACAATCTGTTCAAATCATTAAGAATGTTAGTAGTAGTTTAACATAAAAATAAAACATTCTAAGTAGAAGTTACTATAGAAAATTCACAATCCCGAAGCATGCCTGTAGTCTTCAGCTTAAGAAATAGTGTCATAACTGATAAGCCAATATTTTAAAAAGAAAATGGTACTAAATCACTTGCATTTTTTTCTTTTAAGAGATTCACTGGAGCCAGGCATAGGGCTGCACACCTTTAATCACATCACTTGAGAGGCAGAGGCAGGTGGATCTCTGAGTTCAAGGCTAGCCTGGCTATGTAAAGAGACTATGAAAGGTAGGTAGGTAGGTAGGTAGGTAGGTAGGTAGGTAGGTAGACAGACAAAAAAATTCATTGGGAGAGTTTGACTTTGAAGGTCTTCTTTCCAACAAATTCCAATCTGTTTTGGCTATGACTATTTCTCATGTAGCTGACAATAAACTCTTGGTTTCTGGTATAATGTCCCTGGGGTGTAACTAAGGCCATAGCCTCTTGTAGACTATAATTGCACTGCCTTACTTAGATATGCTAAATCAAGTATGTATTGAGTCGCATGTGGAAAAAAAAAACCACCAGAAATGGTGCCCAGGATTTCTGAAACAGTATCTACTAGTACTGTTTGAAAACTATTTGGGAAAGATTTTGATGCACATCCACTAAACTATACCAGTATTTTAAATACTTTAGATCTTTGTGGTTAAAAAAAAACACCTAATTTTAGTGTGTGTTCTAAGATTCTGGTCACAGAAGATGTGACTCATTAGGTATGAATGGGACATATTAACCTGAAATTTCATTTCATTTTTATAAAACATCTTTAGTCCTTGCTATTCAAGTAAAAGTCTACTGATCAGTAGCATCAGAGCATTTATTACAAACTCATACAGACTTCCTAAATCACAAACTGCATTTTATGAAAGGAGCACCAGGTGGGTCTGAACCATGTTCAGACTTCATATGGCAAGTTTTATCAGACAATCCTACAGAACAGTTGGAGGAAGCATTTTTCTCTGGCTGAATGATTACTGTTTACCTTCTCTTCAGCTCTCAGTAGCGGAGCCGATATTACTGTTATGATAGCCGGGATGCAGCTATCTGGTCCCCTAAAACCTGTTAAAGATGAAATTACGAAGAGAGAGAAGAGTACTGAGGAGGATAATGACAGTAACAAACAAACAAAAAAAAACCTGTCAGAAAAGAAGTGATAGTGTTCCTGTGAGTCCTG